TGGGGGGGGGGGGGGGGGGGGTATGAAGAGGCACGAGTACTCGGAAATAGAAATGCGCGGACAAGTGCGCACGTCCGAGGAGGCAGTCGGCCGAGTACAAAGCGGCCCCACATGCTGGGAAGATTCAGAAGTGCAGAATTTATCGTTTGAGTGCGCTTGAGGCTGTCGACAGCCGTGCGTGCGAACCATTGGCGAAAAAATCCGATGAGATACGAGGTTTGACCGAGGCTTACGATCGATTTGCTATTAATTTGCATTTTTTGCATTATCTTTTTGTTTTTGATGCTTTCGTAAATGACGCGTAAATGACGTGTGAGCCAGAGATACACGACAGCTTATCAATAGCAATGATAATGATAATAATAATAATCACGAGTATAACCGATCCTATTGACGATTACGCGTTGCTCGTGCAATTATTGCGAAGAAATTAATGTAGGCCTGTCTCTAGATAAATAATAATACCATTTGCTAAAATCGAAAGATTTCATCGAATAAGCAAATATTATGATAATACCGTTGTATTCGCGTGCCTTAATGTAGAATAATTCAAATAATCCTTCCTCGAAACGTTTTCTCAAATTGTTAATGCTCAAGCCATATTTACGAAAACACACCCACTATTTATTGAAAATAATGCACTTGTATGTATTGTAAGAAAATGCCAGACATTATAAAAGATGATTTAAAATGAATATTAAGAATGGTTGACCTATATTTAAATATAATAAAACTCATTGATCTTGTATACATTGTGCTTGAGATAATTACAATGAATCGGCCCGTTTTAGATTATTACATGCAATATCTACATTTTAATTCAGTATTACTTAATAATTACATGTTAAGAAGACTCACGATGACTTCAAGTTTTATATAATATACTCTCGATACGATGATTTCTTCTCCTGCAAATAGCAGACTAGTGGCTTTGCAATATAATATGCAAAGAACTATCAATTAACTATTTCTATTCTACTGATTATTTATAAAACGTTTAAATATTTATTTTGGTCCTCGTGTAGATTTATTGGTAGGTTATGATTGAATTTGTGGGGCAGGGAGGCAGGAATCATGTATGTAATAAAAAATAAAAATCCATGTCCTTTATCCATATTGGTCGAAAAGTCATAAAAGTAAAAAACAGTAGTATTTGTCGTATGTTAGCAAGACAATTGAGAATTTATTAATTATACAATTAGTAAGTAACGATGCACGGAACTTCATTGTTTCTCCGACCGCTCATTATATGTTCTGAAATCGTAAAATTACGAAAGAAAAATCAATCGCTTTACAAACGACAACATATAACTCAAATAGGTCATAAAATAATATTCCAAAGCCTCATGAATACGGAGTATAGTGTGCCAAGTCTACCAAGGACTAAATTACATATTTTAAAGTATAATTAATGCACGATTACGAATTTTATTTCCAATAAATCGTATGCATTTAGAAGAAAATATTTGAAAAGCATATCATTCTAATGAGTTGCATGTGGTTTGCCGATGTTGGCCGTTGACAACAATTTTATTAACAATCTTCAGAATGAAACGAATTTTTAAACAATCATCACATCGATCATCCACATCACACTTTTCTAAATGTCCTTGTTTTATTTTCAATTTTAACAACCGTTAAACCCTAAAAGTTTCTTGTAGTTAAAAAAAAACGTATTATTTCACTCATTGTATATCATAGCAAAGACATATGGCATTTACGACAATATATTACGAAAATAGATAAAAAATTATTACGCGATAATCATTTATTTCCATTAATTAATTTCACTGTTTGAGTTGTGTTTATTTTACAAATTCACCATCAACACATATTAACATTTTAAATTAAGTGATTAAAATCTTATATACCCGTGATATATTAAATATTCATTTAATAAGCTTTTATTGTCGAATAAATCATAGCAATTATTATACGGCTTCGGTAATCAAATGTAATTTTAATGATTTATAATTACAATGATCATAACAATTAAACTATTTTATAATAATCGTAATATTAATATGGTGGTCAAGCAATTCTTACCAATTAATTTCTCGCTTTTAGTAGACTTTTTATTCGACTGTTGTTTCTTTTTTTAACCAAATAATTTGAAATTTGAAAAAACAATCGCTATAGTCGTTGTTGTTGTTATTATTACTATTAATATTACTGTTACTATTACTATTACTATTACTATTACTATTACCATTACTATTATATTTATCTTTGTTGGAATGTTATTTTGAATTTGAAAAAGCAGTTAGTATCAATATTAAAATAAAAAAAATTTTCTTTTCTTTTTTATCACGTATTACATAAGAAAGTTAAATATAAAGTTTAAATTTGTTGTCGAATCATACTGCTGAATTAATCTAAAATTATAATGCATTAATAAATAATGGCTGGTTTCAAAACTGTCCTATTAATAGGACACGACACGGATTTTATCATTTAATTTTCTACTTCAACAAATCGTTAATAAACCATTTTTGATGTTCATTCTGTCATGGAAAACCTCATTAATACTCATTGATTACGGTCGAGAGAAACTCATTAGTCATTAGAAACTTCATATAACGTTTGCACGTCACGAAATGCATTGGCACTTCAATAGAATAAATACAATTTCGGTCGATGATTAGCCATAATCGTAATATCTCACACCTCGATTACCGATTTCCCAATCAGCCTTTCATTTACCGTAGAAGCGAAGCTCCTCGAGCTATGCACGCACGCGTGTCTACGCGCAAATAGAAAAAATGAACATTTGTATCGTTTTGCATCGCTGACGCTGCGCCTTCCCAACCAAGTCAAGGTCCTCTGCATAATATGACAGGCTATGACGGTACGGAAGCACGCAAGATGCATTTTCATAATGACATTCCTTCTTGATATTCAACGTAGATCTGGTTCACTTACACTAATCAAGCAAAGCTCGATGTTTCTAATGTATCGCGTGATTGAAAAAAATTCTCTCTCGCTCTTAATAATCAAACTCTGAGTTCATTGACTGATTTGATGAGATTCTTTCGTGTCCTCTGTCACAATTAGATACCAAGTTAAAATATGCATTTATCCTAATTAATTTTTCAGCCCATAAATAAGATTTACACTTTGCTACAATCTCCATTATAAATAGACCAATGAAAATGTCGACGCCTTCCTGGAAATGTCTATTTTTAGAACTTTATTATATTCTTTGGTAATACGGGATTAATGGTATGACTATAAAAAATGTAATCATCCTTTGGAGTTAAAATTTTTTACACGCGGCACTTTATCTTCATTTATAAATAAAGTATTTTTAAAATATTGGCATAGTGATTTCGTATTATTGCATGGATAAGTACTTACGTTAATTTTAGCTTAACTTAGTACTTAAATTCATAAATTAACGAACCGAAGAATCTCGAATTGTTTAAATCTAATAATAATACCCGTTTAATTATGGGCCAAAAGTCTGGACTCCTTTTTATAAAGTTTGCGTGCGCCTAATTGAAACTGAAATTGCCCTTGCGTCTGTTCATCAATTAGCCACGTGTTGAAGGATCAGTAACCGTGTAAAAAGTGAATATTAAGAGTAGTGAGTGGAACCAATTTATTTTATCAACGTATCAATAAAATTATGATACATAAAATATCGTACATTCTGTTTTGCTCGCGATCTCTCTCTCTCTCTTTCTCTCTCTCTCTCTCTCTCTCTCTCTCTCTCTCTCTCTCTCTCTCTCACTCACACACTCTGCTGTCAATCTACTCTTACACGCGTAAAGGCACACATCCACTCCCACACTCGCTTTCTCAAACACACTTCCTATTATTAAATGCATTATTTCAATTCACTGCGTAGATGAAATTAACAACTTTAATATATGTTTCTGTAATATATTAAATATTAGTCATTCGAAGCTGCTTACTCACTCTAAAGTTATTTCAAGTAATTGAAAATTCAATATTATTCCAATAAAGACTTCTGAAACTATTTTTTATGTCATAATTTTTACTCACATTGGGAACAAATTTCTACGTAAAGTCATTTGAACGTTACGTGTATAAATAGCTCCAGTTATAAATTATTATAAATATACGTTGATTGTTTTCTAAAATTTGTTTTATTTTGTTTATCTTTCTTTCACATGAAAATATTCTAAAAAATTGCATTATAATTTTTTTTTTTTTTTTTTTTTTTTTTCTAATAGACATAATCAAATATATTTATCATATCGTTACATAAAAATAAACATTAGATGCTCCTTGTTAATATTGTAATTGTTTTACAACAAATACTTGAACACTCAATTACATCATAGTATGCGTACAAATTCACAAGACATTGTTAAATAAATACACTATAATTGCAACTTTTTTTTTTCAGTTTCTAGCATCGCGATCGACTAGCTAGCATTGTTATTTAATATTTTTCTCAACTTTATGTTGACAAATAATGAAGAAAAAAAATTATATTTATATACCGCAGGAAATCACTTATACAATAATAAAATGGTCAGGAAACCGACATCCGGGATCAAATAAATCCAATAAAGCTCTTATAAATCTTTGAAAATATGCATAAAATTTTCTTCGACATTATTCAATTCGAATGACATATTATATCAAACTTACGTTATTGATTGAAAATTATATAATTT